TTTGACCTCCTTGGGCACTGCGTGTGTGTGGCACACGTGCACCTACATGCATACATGTGAAATACTCATATGTATAAAATAAATCTAAAATTTTTTAAATTTCCAATCTGCTGCTGTAACTCCAGTGATCTCTACTGCATATAGATCAAGACCCAGACTCTGCCCTGGTGATGAGACTTTTGTCATTTCTGTCCACTGTTCATTCCCCTCCTTCCTGCTCTTTCTTCTCCCTCTTCCTTCTCCTTCCTCGCTCCTCTTTCCTTTCTCCTTCTCCCTCCTCCCTTCTCCCTCCTTCCTTCTCCCTCCTCTCTCCTTTCTTTTCCTTCTCCTTCCTCCTTTCCCTCCTCCTTCCCCCTCCTATTCTCCTTCCTCCTCTGACCTCATCTTTCCTGTCGCACAATGGTAGACTATTCCATCTGGACCAGTCTTCTATGATTGCTTCATGGCCTGTTTCTTTCTTCTCCATCCTTGCCTCATTGTTTCATCTGCCTGGATTGCACTGCTGTGCACGGTTACATCACTGCTGTGCATGGTTACATCATTGCTGTGGTGTTTGTTTATTTTACTTTTAATTTTTTGAGGCTCGATCTCACCATTTAGCCCAGAATACCTTCGGTCTCACAGTCCTTCTGTCTCAGTCTCAAGTGCTGGGGTTCTCCTGTGTGTCAGTGTGTGCCCTGTTCCAGAGCTCCCTACTCCAGGCATCACAGCTGCCCTCATGGTCAGAGCAGTTGTGGCTGCTTGCTGGAGACCCTGCAATTGGGCCATTAATATTGATGTTCCCTCCTAGAAGGCAGAGATGGGCAGCATCATTGGGCTCTTACCCGAGAGTCACTTCCTCCTCCTCCTGGCCAGGGTTACGCAGTTTGTCCCAAACATATGTGGCCTCATGATCTGGGGAGGTGCTAGAGTATCTAGACTGTGGATGGATAACTGAGGGCCACTCCATCCTTGCAGCTATGAGGAAGGCAGCGTCCATGCTGGGGTGGCTTCTCAGGTACAGCTGCTTTGGGGTCACTCACACCCCTGGAATTAACTGTCATCTATGCTCGTAAGCCCAGTGAATTCACTGGTTCCTCACTGGTCCTGTGAGAAAAGGGTTGATAGTTCCAGAAGCGCACCCAGCTTGGGGCACGGTTGCTCAGTTTCCTGCCCAGAACTCGGTTGTGTTATCCAGTAGCTGAGGCTCTGCTTTGTGAGTCCTTAGGGTGGCATGTGCTCGAACCGTGATGAAGAACCGGGACAGCTTGCCTTATTCTCCCCAAGTGCTCAGTAAACACCTGACCTGAACCGCAGTCTAATCTGTGTTGAAAGTCTGGATCTTATGCTTGTGGGAACTGACTGACAGGACAAGCAACCGATTAACTGGGGTTGGACTTGACATTAATTGTCCTGTGCTCAGATAATGCTGGGCCCTTAATTTACTGTGTGCCGAATGCTGTAGACTAAGGTCCTCGAGGCAGAGCAGCTGCTGCCGCCTTCAGAACAGCCACGCCTGGAAGCGGCTGTCACCGTCCAGCTGTTTGGCTGTTTGACTTTCCCTCATAGCAGGAGGGGCCTGAGTGTCTAGCCATTTTATGCAGTTTTGTCCCAGCCTCTTGGGGAGGGGCTGGAGTATGTCTCGGCTGGGAAGATCAACTGAGGTGGGGGAGACATCATCCATGCTGGGTGCAGACTATTCCGTTTGGCTGCCTTGGGGCCACATGCTGGTTTCCCAGAGTGAACTCTGGTGGAATGTTTTGGTTTGTGGTGGGAGCCATAGGAGGAGGGATAGACCATGCTTGTGTCTTCTTGGGGACATGTTTGGTAGTGGGGCTGGAAAAGTCCAGGATCTTGTTCTAAAATTTGGTACGTTCAGAACCTGGAATGTGACTTTTTTTTTTTTTTTTTTTTTTTTTTAAAAGACAAAGGGTCTTGCCTAAGCTCAGACCGACCTTGAACATGCTATGCTCCCGTGGTCTTCTGTGTGTTGGGTTACAAGTGTGACAGTCTGGGCTGCATTGGTACTTTGTATTGGGTGGGCTTCCTCAGTGGGTGGGTCCTTACCGTAATGAATTTAACTGGGAAAACAAAACAAAGCCCTTAGTCTTCTAGCCAACACCTACACAAAGTTGAGAAACATGATGAAGGGAGTCCAAGTCTTTCCCTTGCCTGGAACTTGGCGAGTACATTAGGCTGGCTGGTTGCGAAGCCCCAGGAATCCACCTGTCTCGACTGCCCCAATGCTGACATGGATTATGAGCGTGCTGTCACGCTTGGTTTTGTAAGAAAGGAAGGGTTTATTCTGCTGGTTCGAGGGTGCAGCCCTGTCGTGGTAGTGGGAACATTACATCCTCAGTCAGGAAGCCGAGAGGAGTGAATGGCCATCTCTAGCCTTTTACGTGAGCGCTGGGGATTGAACTCAAGTCCGCGTGCTTGCAAGGCAAGCGCCCTACTGACTGGACCATTCATCCCCCAGGTGTAGTGCATTGTCTTTTAGCACAAATTAGCGGTGGAATCATCTTGTGTTGAGGTTCTCCAGACAGTTGAGAAGTCTGCTTTATGGTAATTTCTGGAAACCGAACCACTTTCCTGATGATGAATGATAGACTTTGCTTCTGGTGTTTGACTTACACTTTGAATGCTGTGGTGAACGTCTTGGGTCTTTGTGCTAGCACACGTGTACACACACACACACACACACACACACGCCTATAGGTTACTAAGGAATAACAACCTAATTATTTAATATGTAGAACTTTTTGTAAACAAAACAAAACCCACAAAACTTGTAGGAACGGTAAACTGTGGCTCTCTTGTCTCCATCTCCCGTTAGATTATGGGGCTTACTATCTTCTCTCCTGATTTATCTGTTTGTTTTGTTACTTGTTTGTGTGAGTGTGGCCTGAATGTAGAGGTCTGAGGACAGCTCTCGGGAGGAAGCTCACTGTGGGCTCTGGGACTTGAACTGAGGCCATCGTGTAGAAAATGCTTTCGCTCTCTTAGCCGCCTCACCAGCTCGTACATACAACACGAAGGATTGTGGGAGAGGGAGACTTACCAGGAATTCTACACGTGACGTGGTCTGCTGCCTGTGAGTGGAATCTCCTCCCTCCCCCATCCACCCCTCCTGCTCCCCGGTCTCCTCTTGCCTTGCTTCTAACACTCAGGCCACACAGCTCCAGCTTGTGGCCCCTAATGGCCAGCGCGGGGACTGTCTCTGCGAGCAGGCGTGTGAAGAATGTGGAGTCCTCAGGGCTTCTTGTATGGCTTCTGACCCTAGAACAACCTAGTGGCTCTCGGCGGTTACTGGCTGTAGCACCTGTCTGTATCCCAGCATGCTCCACCCAGCTGAGTTTACTGGAATGAGGATGCTATTTTTAAGAAAGAGCATTGTGTTTCATCATGGAAATTTTGAGCTTCTGAGCAGGAGCTGGCCGGCTGGCTCTGCTTTGGGGTCCTGCTACACATGGACCCCATGGGCTTAGCTCTGACCCTGAGCATCCCACCCACACCCGACCTGCAGGAGGAAAGGGAAAAGGAGGGTCCGCTGCGGACAGGGCGTCATGTGAGTCACAGCAGCTGTGTCTGGCTGGTTTCACTTTGCTTGGTGATATTGCAGGGGCTGGCAGTCTGGGAATTTTTTCCTCCCAGCCTGTGCATAAGGAGTGTGGAATGAGCATCACAAACAGGGATGTAGGACTTTCACTGTAGCCTTAGGGGGCTCGTGATTGTCAGGTCCCCTGTTTACAAGCTCTCGTGAAGTGGCTTCTCACGGTGGCTTTACTATGCTGGTGGTGGAGCCCCTTGTGTTCCTTGGCTTGTGTGAGGTGACTGGGAGCCAGGATCAGGGTGCGGAGGGTTGGTGCCAATGACCAGTGCTTTGGGAAGAGCTGGACAGGGAGTGGCTCTCTGGTCCTTGCTCTTGCAGCCGGCCACTGGCCCATCTCCAGGTTCTCTAGGTACATAGACATGGCCTTTCTGCCTTGTGCCTGTAATGTTTACTAAAAGGAGAATTATTGGCATGGGGATAAGATCCCCCTCTGTTCTTTATGTAATAGTCCTGACGGAGCAGGGACCCTCGCAAGCCAAGATCAGAGCTGGCTGCTGCTCATATCTTGGCTTATGGTCTTCATTCTGTACCCCCTGCTCCCATCTGTAAAATGTACAAAAACCATAATAATTGTTCCTGAAGTATATAAAGTTTCTTAGCTTAAATATTTTTTATTTTTCAATGAATGCTTTTTTAAAATAATTTTGGGTTTTGGGATTACATTAATTATGTTTCTGGATGGTGTGATTAAATACCTGACAAAGCTGCTTGGCGAGGAAGGCTTTGTGTTCAGCTTACAGTCCATCAAGGTGGGGAAGCCATTGCCACTGGAGTGAGGCAGCTGGTGACACTGTGTCCACCCACAGTCAGGATGCAGAGACCAGCGAGTGCTGGTGTCCCCAGGATCTCTCCTTTCTGTTGAGTTTGGGAGCCTGTGATGCTGCTGCCCCAGTGCCACTCCCGGGGCTGCCCACGTTTAGGGTGGTTCTTCCCACTTTCATTCACCCCATCTAGAAACTCCCTTGTGGACACGCCCAGGGGCTTGTTTCTATGGTGATTCTGAATCTTCCCCAGTAACTATCACAGGGATACAGCACCTTCTCTTTGGACCACTGCATCTTAGGTCACTGGAGGGTGGTTGTTATCCCAGGTTGGGTGGCTGTAGCCCTACCCTGGCCAGGACCCTATAAAGAAGAAGCATTATGAGGCGAGTGGATGGATATGGGTGTGGCTGTGATGGTGTATGTTTGGCCTTGGTGTGACTCTCAGGGCACATGTGGGCATGACTTAGATGTGTGGGTAGTCTTGATGATGTGAGTGTGGCTTAGATGTGAGTATGGCCTTGATAACATGGGCGTGGCCTTGATAGAATGGGCGTGGCCCTAATTTTGTGGACTTATCTTTCCCTTAGGTGCTGTGAGTGGCTGAGATGCTGCGGTGGAGGGGAGCCCAGGCCCCGTACTGTCTGGTTGGGACACCCCGAGAAGAGGGACCAGCGATACCCTCGAAATGTCATCAACAACCAGAAGTACAATTTCTTCACCTTCCTTCCCGGGGTACGTGCAGCCGCAGTTTTCTTTCCCCACTGTGAGTTTGTGCTGTGCTTCTAGCCTTAGCAGACCGAGGCTCCTGTGGTAGATTTGTGAACGTTTTCTCTCTGTGTCTTTACCACCGACCTTTCATCTTCTATGGCCGAGAGGACTGCACTTGCAGGGATGTCCGCCATCTTCCAGACTATGGTGCTCCCTGTCTGTTAGAATAACTTCATGTTTATTGGGTAGTTTGGAAACTTAACATTATAGTCAAAATGCCTAAATTGTTACCCTGTGCCATCACAGGGTAGGGGGCTGGGCCCAGGACGCCACTGCGGTGTAGGGGACTGGGCCCTGGAAGGTTGGAGACGGAAAGGACAGAGAAAGTTCAATCCTACCATCTAGAGAAGAAATTTAGACTTTTTGTTAATAAATGTTTCAGGAGGATGGGGGAATGGCTCATTTGGAACAGTACATGGTGCAAACAGAAGGACCCAAGTTGTGATCCCTAGCATTCACATAAACGCGGACATGGTGACACACAGCTGTAATCCCAGCATTCAGGGAGCAGAGCTGGGGACTCCTGGGCTCACTGGCTGACTTGTCTCCTAGTCAGTGAGTTACAAGGTCAGTGAGAGACCCTTCTCGAAACAAAGGTGGAGAGACAGCAACATTGGCCCTTGGCCCCCATGTACACTCACACACATGTGCACATGCATAGCAACATGTAAACACATACCCACAAATGTTTGTGGAGCCCTAAGGCTTTCCTTTGATCATGCATGAATTTGAAGCCACGCTCACACTTCTCCCATGGATGAGCATCCGCATATGCTTCAGGGCAGGCAGCAGC